AATGGGAGGAATATTATGGCTCGGTAAAATCTGGACTTTTCCAGTTCACTCGGCTTCGCCTCGTGAAATGGAAAAGTCCAGATTTTAACTTGGGATAATATTCCTCCCATTACACGCTGAGCCACTCAATATTTGTATAGCATTGAAGGTCTCAAGTATTTAAACAGAAAATAAACTGGCAATGTGCGCGTAAACGGCGTTGCGTTCGTCACGTCTAGCGCGCAATTTGTATCTTTCCTCCAGCACGTGACCCTCCAGGCAAGGCCGTGCGTATATGCACGCGCTGCCGATCTAGTCTTTTTATTCTATATCTATGGCACGACCCACACGCGCGCGCGGTTGCGTAGCTGCAACCATAGGTGCAACATAGCAACCTCGTGCCCCGTTGGTACGATCTTGCAGCGCCATGTTGTTTCCCATCATGCCTTGCGCGATCGTAACCCCTGGAATTGTGTAATTTAAATGTTCCAAAATACGGTACATTATAATTAGGGCTGCAGTTTATCCGTTTTACGTGCTGACGCCATCTTTAAAATGTTAAAAGTTGTGATTTTGAAGAATCAATCCTTTCAAACACAACGTTTGGACGTTGTGTTAATTAGCAAAGATTTGTATTAAATGTACGTACCCCTTTCGTGCCTTTACAATCACAGATACATCCATATCGTGACGTTAAGTGCAAAGCACGCGAGCGCATTATGGGGGCGCCCGGCGTGCAATCTTCGAAATGCAAGCGCAATACGCTGTGAGTAGCCATTCAGTGTCATTTACGTCATCATCACAGCCAGGGGTTAGTGTAAGGAACGAGCACGCGACCCTGGAGTCGAGGTTGCATAAAGCTGTATGGCGGTTACCTTTTACACGTGCGCGTTGTACGGAGTGGCGTGCGCATCTTAGAAAAGCGCAATACGCGGAGTGCGGTATCCGGTTCGTTAGTGTGACGTCACCTCCAGCACTCTCTGCACGATTGGAACTAGCCTTGACCAAGGCTATCAGTTTTCCCATATGAGCTTGTTCCCGCTACCGCACACCGCGCGCGCAGCGACACAATGTTGCACTATACCGTTAGCCCCAACGACCCTTGCGTGTGCTTTGTGTGCATGTACTTACGCCCCACACACACTTCCGCAAACAGCCGTACAGTAAGTCGAGGCGGAAGATAGCCTTGACGCAACCGTGTATGCCGAATATGATAATTAGTACGCGCTATGGTAAATAGTCTTCTCTCATTGGATAACGGCTGACAAAAAATGAATATTTATTGCATTGTATAATACGACCAAAGGTTTATAAACCAGACGGCCTGTAGTAACAATAATTATTGTAAAACACCCCCTTAAAATCTTAAATAATAGTAGAATAATATTTATAAAGTTACACATAGTTTGGATCGAAAATGAAATGAAAAGGATGAAAAATTAGACCTTCAAAAAACGGCAAACGGTACAAAACCGCACGCCGTCAAAAACGATGTCACCATGCACAGAGGCCACGTTGGGGCCGTCCACTGTAGGCACCGGCCCGGCTGGCGCCATGCAGTAAGACACGCTGCGCTTTCACGTTCAGCGGCAAAAAAAAGCGCTCACACTATTGAGTATATCTACCGCTGACTTTTGGGGGGGGGGGTATTTCTTCTGAGCTGTCAAGGGGATATGGGAAAAAAATATCTCTCCTTCAGCAAACTTATTCTGTAAGACTGATTTTAACTTGTATGAACAACCTATAAGTTATATGTCGTATGTACGACTAATATATCGACAGGGTACCACATATTTCGACAGGGTACGACTAATATCATCGACAGGGTACGACATATATGTCGACAGAGTATGACATATCAAAATATGACATAATGTCGACAGGTGCCGGTACGACATATATGTCGTGCATAAATCGAGTCGACAGGGTATGATATATGTCGCATACGACAAAGTTGTATATAAGTACGACTTAATATCTCGTGTGTACAAAATATGAATTGTAACTCGTATGTTTGACTTGTTTGTCGATTATGTCGTACATACAACATATCTTGTGAGAACGACTTGTATCTCGTGCGATTTACATCTACGACTTACATGTCGTACGTATGTCGTAGGTACGACATATACGATTCATACGTACGCGTTAAAATACATGTCGTACGTATGAGATGTAATTTGCACATGGTACGAATTCAGGGAGAGTTTTTTTTTCACCATGTACCTGACAGTTTCGTATATTTCCATCCCAAAGTCAATAGCTCGTTTCATGCAGTTAATTCATACGGGTGCTTACAGATACGAGTTAACCTGCATTCGATTAAATGGGTATGATTTGACCTGGGTCCGAGTTGACCCGTTCCCTACATTCGCTGTCAGAATAGCACGGGCAGGTAGCGGCGTGATAATGTACGCTGTTGCACCGACAAAACGTCGGTGGGCTGTCTTGAACTGTCCAATTCGCAATACATTGGAAATAGTATCACTTTGAACAATTGTTCACTCATATAGCGGCATGTTTCATTTGTTTGTAATAAAACTGGAGAAATGGTTTAAAATGGGATTGAAATACCTGGACATACCATGGTTTGAGCATGAACATACATGTACGTGGTGTATACAGTAATTTGCAGGTCATGAATATGTATGTAGCGGGTCAAAGTTTACGGGCTTTGATTGGATATCGTGTAATATATGCGCACAGAAATTTTCGGCCGATTTCGGTCGAAACTATAAAGAAACACATAAGGAATTCGCCACGGTTGCGTCAAGGCTATCTTGCGCTTCGACTTATTATACGGCTGTTTGCGGAAGTGTGTGTGGGGCGTACGTACATGCACACAAAGCACACGCAAGGGTCGTTGAGGCTAACGGTATAGTACAACTAGTGATTGTGTCGCGGCGCGCGCGGTGTGCGGTAGCGGGAACAAGCTCGTATGGGGACAAGCTGATAGCCTTGGTCAAGGCTAGATTGGAACCGGAAGTTAACGCAGCTCGAGCGTTTGTAGCAAATGGGCGCTAGTAATCAGTGGAGCGCGCACGTGTATGACGTTTTTACTAACGAACCGGATGGAGGAAGGCCGTGCTACATGGTTAGCACGGCTTGTTGCCATGGATCGACCAATCAGGATCGAGGATTCAAGTTTACTTGAAGATAATTGCATATATAGGGCACTCCAGCATAATTCTATATTGTAACACCTCATCCACAGATTCTGTGTCTTGATTGGCCGAGAGCGAGTCACATGTTACTTTCTAATTTTGTTATCTTTCTGTGCACGGTCAAAAGTACTATACCCGTAGCAACCAAAGTACTATACCATTAGCAACTAAAGTACTATATCCACGGCGCGGTATTTGTGTGCAAATGGATGCTGGTGTGCGCGTTGCGCGTTGCGCGTAGCGCGTATTGTTCTAAAGAAAGCGCGCCGCAGACTTGGGTTCATACATTTCGTGAAGGGGTAGTTTGGAAGAGAGAAATACATTTTCCACCAATTTTGTATTGAAATTGAAGTTTGTTTTCAACTGAGTTCAGATTTCAATAATATAAAGTATTAAAATCAAGCAGAATATGTGGGTGAAGTGTTATAAAACAAGTATTGAATGCTGTATCTCGTGGTAAAGTAAACTAGCCTCCCTCGGTGATCCATGGACCATTCTATTTTCCTTTGGCTTCGCCTCGGGAAAAAAGAATGTCCATGGATCACCTCGGGAGGCTAGTTTTACTACACCACTCGAAGCATTAAATATTTGTATATTATAACACCTCACCCACAGATTCTGTGTCTTGATTGGCCGAGAGCCAAAAGTACTATGCGCATAGCAACCAAAGTACTATACCATTAGCAACCAAAGTACTATTTCCACGGCGCGGTATTTGTGTGCAAATGCATGCTGGTGTGCGCGTTGTGCGTAGCGCGTATTATTCCAAAGAGAGCGCGCCGCAGACTTGGGTTCAAATATTTCGTGAAGGGTTAGTTTTTAAGAGAAAAATACATTTTCCACCAATTTTGTATTGAAATTGAAGTTTATTTCAACTGTGTTCAGATTTAAATTATGTAATATATTAAAATCAAGCAGAATCTGTGGGTGAAGTGTTATAAAACAAATATTGAATGCTTTATCTTGTGGTGAAGTAAAACTAGCCTCCCTCGGTGATCCATGGAGCATTCTATTTTCCCGAGGCGAAAAATGGTCCATGGATCACCTCGGGAGGCTAGTTTTACTACACCACTCGAAGCATTCAATATTTGTATATTATAACACCTCACCCTCACCCAGATTCTGTGTCTTGATTGGCCCAGAGCGAGTCACATGACACTTTCTATTTTTGCTATCTTTCTGTGCACGGCCAAAAGTACTATACCCGTAGTACTATACCCGTAGCAACCAAAGTACTATTTCCACGGCGCGGTATTTGTGTGCAAATGCATGCTGGTGTGCGCATTGCGCGTTGCGCGTAGCGCGTTTTGTTCCAAAGAGAGCGCGCCACAGAGTTGAGTTCAAACATTTCGCGAAGGGGTAGTTTGGAAGAAAAAAATACATTTTCCACCAATTTTGAAATTGAAGTTTATTTCAACTGTGTTCAGATTTAAATAATTAAAAATATTAAAACCAAGCAGAATCTGTGGGTGAAGTGTTATAAAACAAATATTGAATGCTTTATCTCGTGGTGAAGTAAAACTAGCCTCCCTCGGTGATCCATGGAGCATTCTATTTTCCCTCGGCTTCGCCTCGGGAAAATAGAATGTCCATGGATCACCTCGGGAGGCTAGTTTTACTACACCACTCGAAGCATTCAATTTTTGTATACTAGCGAGCGTGTGATATAGAAAAAAAATAATCGCTAACCGGCCGTGTGCGGTCCCAATTAATAAAAGGTGAATTTGCTAACAAATAGACAGTTTTTACGGCTTTTCATAGACTTTGTACGCAACCACTGGTGGTCAAACACTATTTTCTTTCAAATATTCATGAATAACTTTATACTGAGTATTTCTAGTGGTCTTGTAGGCCTACCTCCATCGGCATACTCCATAGCAATATGCAATGTGTCTCGCTCCATGAAAGCTTCCCGATAACGCACCACATTGGCGTGTTTCAGACTAGCCAAGATGGCTACTTCATTCACCGCTTGGTTCCTATCCTTCTCAGTCATATCAGCAAGGTGTATCTCCTTAACGACGTACGGTCTTTGACTAGTCAAAGATTTTGCCAACCAAGCCAAACCGAAAGTGCCTCTTCCTATGATTTGTACTAATTTGTACTTAGCTGCCATTTTGCAGTTGTGTGCGTCCCGGCCCGGCTGCACCTCAATTCGACACGCTCGACTACAAATTCATTTATAAAGTAACAATGCTTTACGCCACGTGCCGATGCATCACGTATCTTTTATATGTGCCGAGGTGCGTTGCAGTTATTAACTCATTAGCACGTAAGTATAACAGGACATTACAGGGGCACCTGGGCAGGGGCGGCCTGATCCAGGAATGTTTGCAGGGGGTGGCGTTTCAGCAGCAAATCAATGCTGGAATGTAGACAATTTTTTCTTCGGACACTTGGCCTCCCTAAAATCGCGCATGCGTGACGTGCGCGTGAAGATGATCCGTGGTGTGATGAACGCATTTCAAATTTTCAAACCCTTACCAATGACTACACGTGTGTGCACAAGATGGAGGGCGCTGTGTCCTATCCAATATTAACCATAGGTTCTTTATGTCTATGATATTAACGTAACATAGAGCTATATTCCGCAGCGCCCGCATACGCGCCATGAAGAGTGGCGTTCGATTACTCCCCCAGCTTACTCGCGCCTGGCCGGCCATAGACATATAATAAAACACCGTTCCCATTATGTTGAAACCCCAGTCTACTCCTGTTTATTTCAATCAGTATCTCTTGAACATAGATGCTGATGATTATGACTATATGGCGAGCCAAAGTAACATTTATATAGCATTAGCAAAGTCATTAAAACAATTTAGTGCTATCGACGATGTCTGTTATGTATTAAAAGATATCTTTAAATGATTTAAAGATATCTCTAAAAGTTTTAGAGATATCTTTAAATCATTTAAAGATACCTCTAAATGTTTTAGAGATATCTCTAATCATTTCGAGATATATGTATCTTTAAATCGTGTTTTAATTTGCGCAGCATTGAGCTATTGTTAAAATGTTGGCAACACGTGCTTCAGTAAATACGATTAATTTATTGACGACCTCGAGGATGACTTAAAAAAAACACCACTCACTTCAAATGCAATACTTGAAATACAACACCGGCGATTTGATCGTGCATTCGATATGGCAACATGATTGACTTGTGCGTGCAAAGCATTGTATTTAGTGGTTCAACGGAGCCGTAACCGATTTAGAGATACATGTATCTCTAAATATTTAAAGATGTATCTTTAAATCTTGGAATGCACGAAGTAAGTGTCTCATTATTTAACACACAATTTAGAGATATCTCTAAATGAATTAGAGATATCTCTAATTCATTTAGAGATATCTCTGAATCGTGTGTAAATTGTTCAGAACACCTACTTCGTGTTTTCAAAGTTTAGAGATATCTCTAAATATTTAGAGATATCGCTAAAACATTCACGGTTCCGTCGAGGTTCACAAATTAGGAAGCGCCGCACACTCAGGCGAATGATGTTATTCAACAATGCATTTCATGTAAAACCGAAGTTGCAAATGAAATAATTTCCATTCATTCATGTTGCCAAATAATGCACTTTAAGTCCATGTTGATGCCAACCACATTTAGCATTTCAATTAAAGAAGGATGGCAAAAGAAATTTTATTAAAAGACGTCATTGGGACCAATAAAACGGTGTGTTTACAGCAATCGTTGATGCCAACATTTAGAGATATCTCTAAATAATTTAAAGATATCTTTAAAGGATTTAAAGATATCTCTAAATGAATTAGAGATATCTCTAAATAATTCTTAAAATCATATATCTTTAAATCATTGACAATAAAGCTCTTTCGTGTTTCACTTATCTATCAAAATAATTTGTCTTTTAAACAATTGGGAGAAATCTCTAAGTATTAAGAGATATCTCTAAATATTTAGAGATATCTCTAAATATTTAGAGATATCTCTAAATATTTAGAGATATCTCTTAATCACTTAGAGATATCTCTTAATCATTTAGAGATATCTTTCAATTGTTTTAAGACTTTGTTAATGCTATATAAATGTTACTTTGGCTCGCCATATACATCCATTGAACGCAACGTCGTTATTGTCCAATCACAAATGGCAACAAGGCTACGGCTATTGCGCAGTTTCAGACTGCTTTTAGGGGTGATCATCTTTGGATGGATTTTTTCCCCCAAAGTCAGTAATTAAACCCCCAAAAATGGAACGGAAAATGAAAGATGATGAAATAAGCTTTAATTTGATGTACGTCTTGAACACCTCACAGAGTTGTGAGTATTTTGCTTGAATTTCTTATGTGGGGCATTTACCATTGGGGTCTATGGAAGCTTATGGAAGCTTATTTATCATTGGGGGTAAAACGCTGCGATAACTCGCCGCCGTGAGAGGGCGTTATCACGACGGGCGCCGCCACATTTTGCTAGTTCGCCTAGAGCCTAGGCCGCTACATTAATGATATCCAGCTAGCAGCTGCAACATCAATGAAAAGGACATGAACAACGTCTTCTTTGCGTTTGGAATATATCTTGCAACAAATTGACCATAGGCCTACGTCATTACGTGTAGGAAAATGGCACGGGTGAGTTAATCTCTTTTATTGGGCTCAGTCATATGAATCATATAATGATAATATTATTATTTGGCCTAGCCCTAGGCATGGAGGTAGAATTCGACCTCCATGGCCTAGGCTAGCTCCACTAGTGTGGCCGTCGGTATGCTGCGCTGAACCATGGAGGTCGAATTAAGGCCACACACCGTGGTCCGCGCACTACTGAGGACGTTTTCATAAAAATTGCAGGGAATTTCTTACATATGGTTGTATTCTACGATGTCCCATCTATCACTTCTGGGATGCTTGGGTGTAATGATGTTCAATTTTCCGAGATATTCTTGAATCTTTCTGGAGCCCATATGCACTCGTGAAACGTCCGGTGATGGCAGCCATTTTGAATGTGACAAGAGATGACCTCAAGCTGTGACGTCGCGTTTATGCAAATTGCTTGTCGAGCGAGGGCGCGAGTTGCAAATGCGACAGCTGTTTCCTGTGCCGTAGATCCTGAATAGAGATCAGTGCACGTGGCCCCCAGACGATAAATGCATGGTACAGGAAACAGCCGTCGCATTTGCAACTCGCGCCCTCGCGCTCGCTCGACAAGCAATTTGCATAAACGCGACGTCACAGCTTGAGGTCATCTCTTGTCACATTCAAAATGGCTGCCATCACCGGACGTTTCACGAGTGCATATGGGCTCCAGAAAGATTCAAGAATATCTCGGAAAATTGAACATCATTACACCTGAGCATCCCAGAAGTGATAGATGGGACATCGTAGAATACAACCATATGTAAGAAATTCCCTGCAATTTTTATGAAAACGTCCTCAGTAGTGCGCGGACCACGGTGTGTGGCCTTAGGTTCAGCGCAGCATACCGACGGCCACACTAGTGGGGCTAGGCCTAGGCTAGCTCTACTGAGTGGAGCGTTGAATTACGGGTACCCCTCCATACCAACGCTCCACCGATTTGCCATACTTTGGTAGCACCATCACAGTAGCATAGTCACAAACCCACGCGAGGACAAAAAGACCCCAAAAAACCGGTAAAGATATTACAAATGAGAGAGACAGTTATCCTGGATTGATCTATACATTCTTGACATTCCATGAGACCCCTTATATTGTTCCCAAACAGTGAACATTTTGGAAAAAACAGCAAAATAGTCTGAAAACTTACAGTTCAATGTGTTTGCATGGAGGCTCAGTTCTTGAATTAGCTTGTCAATGAGGGCGTCTGACGTGACGTTACCGTCGTTGCTCGATCGCGAAGAAAAACAAGTCGCGCTTTATCAACGACTGTTTCGTGTAATAATACGTGCTCCGATCCGTGCCGCGCCGTACGACAGTATGGGCTTTGAACACACCCAAGGAGCACGTATTGTTAGGTTAGGCCAGATGCAGTCGGGCTAGCATTTCCATATGTCAAAGACGAAGTAATGGGGCTTCAGTGATACTCCCAAATATTTTTGGGGTTGAAAATCCATGAAATTCAACCACTATTGCACATACCTATAGGTAGGCATATCAACGCGAACATGCTGTTTACTACACGAATATTATTCAATCAACCTGCCAGCATGTTGTCCTGTGAGTTTTGGAGCGACCGCAGTGTATTTGTACCCCAAGACCTATGCCCAGTACTTCTTGACATACTCGCGTTCAAAACGCTAACAAGTATAAGGGTTGAGTCGATCCCGATGGTGCAAAAAAATGATGAAAACGGTCCCCGTTCCGTACCGAAGCTACAGCTTGAGTTTTAAAGTGCACGCGAAGCGTTGTTGGCGTGACGTCAGACTCAGAGTCTTTTGGTCTGGGAACCGACCACAGACACTGTCTTTACGGTGCTTATCGCAGGCGGCGTCAGACGGGCCAATCACGAGACCACTTGATAAACGCCGCTAATAATTTGGAAACGCACTTACGATCCGCACATGAGGAGTGCCCGGAGCGTCAGTGCGATACCAAATTATCCGCAGCACTTATCACGTGGTCTCGTGATTGGCCTGTCTGATGCCGCCCACGATATGCACTACAAAGACGGTGTCTGTGGTCGGTTTCCAGACCAAAAGACTCTGACTATTCTGACGTCACGCTATTTCTGCAAAAATGGTTATTTGACAGAAAAACAGCAAATTTGCAAAAAAAAAGAAAAAGGTACATTTAATTACAAAAGTGTCAATCTTTTCAAACAAACCCTTGCAAAATAGAACAGGTTGCCTGATCTAGGTGCTGAGGTTCACTGGGAACTCATTTCGTTTTGCCTGAAATTTACGTAATTTCATATTATCTTTATGTGGCTATAGATTGTTTATAATGCAATTTAAACATTCATTAAGGCAGTATTACAACATCTGCATGTGATTTAAAGTGTTTAGTATATTTCGAGTAATTTTCATGATTTGTTTTGGTGATTTGACACGGAATGACCCTTTTGTTTGGAATTTCAAGTAAACACATGTTTTTACCATTGAGTAAAATATATATTCTTTCTGTTTAAATTTAAACAGATACGTGTAATGAAAGCTGCACGCTGTCCTACTGATGAACTCTCCACCAGTAATTGTGCTATCATTTCACCCGGAGATTTTGATGAAAAAACCAAGTAAGTTCAAATATGAAATTGCTATGGGACAGCACCCCTGCACTGTATTGCTTTGGCCTGCTAATCAGGCAGGTTATAACATGCGATGCCTTGTGTTCTGTTGTTTTACCAGTACACCTATGGATCTTAATATTTATGCTGATGTTATACTTTAACCCTAACTAGAGGCATTTTTGCTAGGATACAACCTCAATCCTGCAAATCCTCTATTATTTATTGAATGTGGTCCTTGGAGGGGTGTTCAGTACCACAGTCCTGCAAAACCCTCCAGCAATCACTAACAATATGTTGAGGCAGAGCCAGACAAAATTTAACGGAAACTTGGTCGCTTGCTGAAGCTTTGACACTATTTGTCCACGTGACTTCGTGTGCAATATCAGTGACGGATCCGCATCACTCCGAACTACAGTACACATCATTTAAGCAGCAATGACCGCTGGGGTGATCTGCACTCAATGAATCCGTGAATCATGTTGGTTCCCACAAGTAAGAAAAGAACGGCCTCCTCCAAAATATAGGTTTTTCCATGCAATAACCAATGACACTGATCGTTTGCCAGAAAATTACAGATGACGGTACCATTTTACCAATGTACAGATATGTATGTATTCCACAGTGACGATGGTTTCATTAACCCTCCTATGGAAACGTGCATTCTGAGCCTTGTTATTACTCGGGTCAATATTGCTCAAGACCCCCATTGGTTTGTTAAGAGTATGCCAGGAGGCGGGGAAGGAAATTTTGACCATCTGTGACCTTTAAGCAGCAGGAGGGTTAATGTATTTTCCATGACAATGCCCTAAACGCTTTGCACAATATACATGTGGCTCCATTGCTGGTAAGTATCGGAAACGTTTTTGTCTGATCTTCCGTGCAACTTGGAAAACCGAAAAGTTTGTGACGTTCCACGTGCGTGAGAAGCTCAACTCTAACCAACCTCAATCCACCTCATTGCAGTTTTGGAGGATTTTGGAGGATGAGGATAAATGGTGTTTGAGAAACACAAGGATTTTGGAGGATTGAGGATGAATGCATTTTGAAGCAGGAGTGTCTGATGATTTTGAAGGATTTGGGATTGAGGATGGTTCCTGGCAAAAACTGCCTGGGGGGGGGGGGGGGTTAAATTTTCAATGACTGACACTGTTCAACATATGCCAAGTAAAATGCCAAAGCTATTAAGTCTGAACTTGTGATGTGGCATTGCCTGTGGCCTTCTCCACAAGAAGAGGCTATTTGAGGAATACATGTAGATCTATACATGTATGTAGGGCAATGAAACAGCTTTCAAAAATCTCCTGAATTTATTTTAAAGGAAGAAACTCTGCTTATTATAATTTCATCTTAAGCAACAACAAATTGTCTCCCAGCGAGCTAGTAACCGCTTAGCTAGCCTTAGAGGAGTCAGTCTGTAGTCTTACATGTACATCTGGCTCACTAAGGCCCCAAAAAACAAAAAAAAAACTTCTGCTTCAGATTACATGCCTTTCAAAAATAGGGTCGGAATATTTTTTTTGGGGGGGGGTACTTTTTTGTGCTGATTGAATGGGGTAATCAGTTGTATGCGAATTTCAGCCTGAACTTTTTATTGCACTACAAAAGCTATACAAAAAATGGCCACAAAAGTGATTAAAGCTTACCTTAATTATTGTCAAAGTATTTACGGTCACTAATTCTTCAAAAGAATGGAAAATTTAGGTCATGCACACCATTTGCACAATGCTAGTCAATACGGAAAATTAGCCTACACTTTCCATACATTGCAAGGTATAGCGTGCGAGATGCACTGTGTGTGGCGGGCGATGAAGCTCATTTTTACGGTAGGAAATTTAGGGGAAACACGCTGCATCATGTCACTCCACGTAAGAGTAGTACGACCTCAAAAGAGATCTACATGTAGTTCTGTGAATCGCGGACCATTTACAAAGGGATGTGCAACTTCAGCTCAGCTAGAGCTGGTTCAATTTGTGTTACGGCCGGCAAAATATCAAAGGAGAAATTAAATTGGATCTTAAATATAATGCTTCCTCCAGCCCCAGCAGTCCAACAGCTGTCTTAGATAAATCACTGTGATGTCACGCACGCAAGGCTACAGTCAAATCACATCTACTCCACATGAGAGTTTACCGTGAATCAGCGAGATCTAGTATGGTACCCTGTACTGTTCATGTACGGGCTGCATGATAAATATATTGAGCACCATGCTATTCTTTCTCATGCTGCACATGCCTCGATTCTTGCATGTCGATGTGTGTTTTTTGGCGATTGCATTTCACAAAATCCAGTACATATACGATGACATCTCATGATTACACAAAATCAAGAATATCTATAGAATGGATGACGATTATGAAGGATGGGATTGATGTTATCAACTGGGACAAAATTATGGAGAATGAAAGCAACAGCGGACACAGGGGAGAAGGCCAATCCGACACACATATCTACATATATCCTGAGTGTTCCAAGACTTACCAGTCTGCATCTGGAATCACTCGCCACCTGAAGGGAAATGGGCCAGAGTTTCATAAAATAAAAGGTGGGAAGGCTGATTTCTCAGTTTCTTTTGTCGTTCTGCGATAAAAACAAGTTCTTTGTTTTTAATGGTTTATTTTGCTATTTTGAACAATTTGTTATTCTTCGGGGATATTATTTAAAAGATATATACCGGTATATGTATACAGCTGAATTCATCGCAAAATAAAAAATACAAAAAAACAAACAATGGCATTAAACAAAAAAATATTCTTTTGTAAATTTCCTGAATTTCATTGACATTAAAATATTAGCCAATGTTAGGCTGGGGGACCATTTTTTTTGTTTAATAGTACAGGTGTAATGATATTCAAAAAGCAAAATTTGTTAGTTATGGAGATGTGAAGTGCTCTGTTTGCAAGAGCTACAAATGGATATGACGTAAATGGCCAAGTTTGTTTTTACCTTAGGAGACTGTTTGAAATAATTCATTTTGGAAAGTCCATAATTGATTTGAATGAAATTTGTAATCCCAAAACCACCCCATCCTCAAAATACATGTATGTATAAAAATTTAACCAATCCCACATGTAATAATAAATGAATATTTCAATTTTTCTAAAGCTGCTGAGACGCAGTGCATATCCGATGAGAAACCAGGGGCCATATTCATGAAACCTCACTAAGCCTAGTTGGTTACTAAAAAGGCATGCAGTTGCTTAGGCCCCAAAAAATAATAGTTCTGCTTCCGGTTACCTGACCGACCCTATTTTTAGGCTGCGACCTTAAAAATTTTATCGGCAATTCAAAAAAAAAGAAAAAAGATTGAATAAATAAAAAAAAAACCTGTTATCTTTTCTGTCTTCACAAACTACCTCTCAACAACCCTTTTGCGTAAAAAAAATGCTTGTATTTATTTGTTTTCTTACTTACACTCGCTACTTTTCAAAAGAAACCTCCGTTATTTTAAAAAATTCGCTTCGCGATAAAACTTCTTCGCAATTCGATGTCACGGTAACTATAATCACATGCGTAAGCTCAATGCGGCGACGACTGGTTCCCGCCGCACTGCGCAGGGACCAATTTAGAAGACATGATGAAAATGCGGTCCCTAGTCTGTGCACGGCTATGCGATTGATAGCGCTAGCATGGCTATGCATTGCAGGCACGTGCACTGTCAACTGGTCGGATCCGATATCGTAAAAATGCCAAGAAAACACCGACGGAGAAAGAACATTTTTGCAAGTTAATTCACAGAATTGATCTAGCTTGTCTGTGTATATATTTTCTGTGTTCAAGAGTTCATTTTGAGATTGCACTACTCGTATTTGGAGTGATACAATGCAGCGTGTTTCCCGAAATTTTCGACCGTAAAAACAAGGTCTGTCTGCCGCGGGCCACACATGCACAGTGCATCACACACTTCGGAGTTTTGGCCAGCTTCCTGTCTTGACTAGCGTTGTGCATATGGTGCGAACGACCTGAATTTTCCATTATTTTTTCAAGAATTATCGAATGTAAATATATTGACAATAATTAAGGTAGGTTTTATTCACTTTTTGTGGCCATTTTGTGTATAGCTTTCGTTGTGCAATTGAAATAGTTCAGGCTAAAACTTCGCATATTATTGAATACCCCATTCAATCTGCATAAAAAAAATTGGCCAAAAAAAAAAATCCAACCGACCGACCCTATTTTTGAAAAGCATGTAATCGGAAGCAGAACTATTTTTTTTTTTTGGCCTTACTAAGCCTAATTGTTTTGCCCCCTCTAGAAAAAATCCTGGCAACGCCCATGTTTCCAGCTCTTGCATGAAACTTTACCCGAAACTGTTCGTTTATTTAGTGCTTGATGATCTCGATGGCTTCTCTGATGCGTCGGGGGTACCAGCGGTCAATGCTACATTTGTAGTGAGCAGTTCTGCTTGGCTCCAGTTGACCTGGTGGTCCTCGGTGTGGGAGTGTTTGACGATGGAAGATTTCTCGAAGTCTCCCTTCCTGCCATTTGTGTTCATTGAGTCTGGTGGGGAGGTCCCTGCCAGTCTCGCCAATATACACTGTGCATGTCAGTCATGACGCACTCTTCAAGAATCATTCAAATCATTTATGTACTTTTCAAGTTACGGAGTTTTAAACACAACCGCCGTTTTAAAGTTCTGTCCACAGATCACAAAAATAGGTGTGTGTTCTTTCAGTAAAACGAAAACAATTCACACGCATCTCAACTGACCAGAGCATGTGTTCAACACATATTCGTTCGCTGTGCGTCTGCAGTGTTCACCGGATTAGTCTGCTTCTCTGCTAATTGCACCCAATAATTGCACAAATAAAATATACATAGACACTTCAAAACTAAATAAAAAGTAGTTGAGTGAACATACTTTCAGTGATAACAGCGGGAACATCGGGCTCTTGTCCTTCATGTTGAGCAAAACGCAAGAAAAGGGGACACACAACACAGGATTTCAAAATCAAAAGAGTTCTTATTTATTTCGCCAAACAGACTCTGCGGTCAACTCACCGCACCGC